TGGAGACTCATTCCAGATGCATCACCCTACTGGGGCTGTAGAGTGGTAGAATGGAGTTTTCCAAATCCCTCCTTTTCTCTCAGTCCTCTGTTAAGTGGTACAAATAGTGTCTTCTGGAGAAAAAGAGCATTTCACCATTGGGGTGTAAGGTTGCAAGATGAGCTGAGCTTTTCTCAAAGTTGCATGAGAAGAAATAACACAGTCCTGATCATGTCAGGACATGCCAGGCCAAACAAAACCCCCCAAATCCCCCACAAAACAGCTTGAATGTTCTTCCAATTCGTTTAGATGGGTATTGTCAAGTCAGAGGCTTGGTTGCCAGTGTTACCAGTAAGCCACAATAAGGGATTTGGGCAACGTCATATCTTGGAGACACTTTGAACTTCTCTCTTTCCTCAGAGCCAGAAGTTGTGTTTACAAACAAGGAGAAGGTGCAGAAGGAGGTGAAGGCTGCACTGGCACAGAACGCCACGCTGAGCTGCGAGGTGGCCCAGGAGAAGACTGACGCGAAGAGATCACCTCCAGCAAGAAGTTCAAGGTGGAGTCAGAGGGCAAATCCCATCGCCGGGTGGTGGCTCAGGTGGAGAAGAAAGATGCTGGGGAGTACACCTGTGAGGCTGCTGGCCAGAAACTCACCTTCAGGATCGATGTCACGGGTGAGACATACCTTGTCTGAATTTCAAATAAAGTCATAACTGTAATGGCAATTACACAATCATAGAATCACAGAATCACTGTGGTGGAAAGGACCTCTAGGACCATCAAGTCCAATTAATGACTCAGTTCTTGAAGTCTGGGCTTTGTTGCAGCCTGTAAGGTTCATCTATCTTCTGTATCTTGTCTGGATTTGTAGAAATGGGACTATGAGGGTTTAATTTGGCATAAAGGTCCATCTCATTTTTATTCTGTCTATGCAATAATAGTTGCAGATAGAGATATAATAGCAATAATAACATATTATTAAAATCTCTTCATTCCTGAGATCCCAAAGGGTGATTCTTGTGCACTGAACCTGTTGAAAAGAAAGAGCCAATCCAAAATACTTTTCTTGTTAGGCTTACAATCCAGTTTCTAAAAACTGAGAGGCTGGAACATGCTCTGGCATTCACAGTTTTGTCAGTGGCACTCATCAAAATGGGTTGAAAACTCAGATTTTTTCCTGAATTTGTGCTGCTGTGTGTTTGAGATCTCAGCCTTCTCTTTGAGCACAACCTGGACACAGAAAATTCCCTGTGAACATGAGGAAAAGCTTCTTACCTATAAAGGTGGCAGAGCCTGGAGCAGCTGCCCAGAGAGGCTGTGGAGTCTCCTGCTCTGGAGAGATCCCAAACCCACCTGGATGTGACCCTGGGTGACCTGCTGGAGCAGGGGGGTTGGATGAGATGATCCCCAGAGGTCCCTTCCCACCTCACCACGCTGGGATTCTGTGATTCCAAGATTCCTCACTACTTCTACTGGGTGCTAAATGTCCTTTTGGTGTGAAAGATTCCCAGGAACTGCTCTTTTGGAACGGGATTCACAAGACACCCAAAGAGTTTCAAGCCTGTGATGCTAAAGGGAGTGTTGATGCTGCAAACAACCTTGGGTGCCCTGCCAGCCACGATCCTGACCTGCCTGAGCACTGTAGAGAGATCACACTTCCATTGTCCCTTTGGCAGTCACCTTTGTGACAGTGGAGGAGACCATAAAGAGTCTGTTCCAAAAGCCCATGGTGCTATATTTGTCCCCTAGGTCTGAAGTAACAGGAATTTGGGACCTTTTGGTGATATGCAGGACAGATGTTCTTTGGGATTTGAATTAAATAGTTTTTGCGTGGTCCTTTCAACCATAGGATTGATGCCAAGGACCCTTTTGGTCCTTTCCATTCCTAGGTTCCTGCCTTCCTAATTTCCACATAGCAATTTGGATCTCCAAAAGAGTAGATGTTGCCCAGCGAAGGCAATTGGTTTTGGCAAGTGGCAACCTAAATATTTTCCTCACTCCTGCACCTGAAACCTGTGGGACTGATCTCATTTGAATCCCTCACTCAATATCTTCTTCCTTTTCATGCATTCAGAGCCCAAACCTGCGTTTATAAACCAGGAGAAGGTCCAGAAGGAGGTGAAGGCTGCCTTGATGGAAAGTGCCACCCTCAGCTGTGAGGTAGCACAGGATGGAGCCGAGGTGAAGTGGTACAAGGATGGAAGGCTCCTCGTCTCCTCTAGGAAATTCAAAATAGAAACTGTGGGCAGAACTCGGCGCCTGGTTATAGAGCAGCTGGAGAAGAGAGATGCTGGAGAATATGTCTGCGAGGCTGCAGGCCAGAAGCTGACCTTCAAGTTGGAGCCAACGGGTGAGGAGTCATCTAAGCAGCTTTTTGGGTGGCTTAGAGGGAAAACTGGCGTTTCCCTGCTCTGTGGTCATGGTGCAGCCACCATTTTTCCCTGGAATAATATCAGCGAGCCACATCCCACATTAATTTGACCATTAAAATCCAGCAGTGTGGAGGTGGAAAATCTGGCTGAAGACCTTTTTTTTTTGGCTGTGGAAATGCTATATTGGTTTTTGCTCAGTGTCTTCTTTGCACACCCTGCTACTTCACCTATTGAAGTGGTGGGGAGCTGAAAGTAGAAGCAGGAAGTTTTGAAGAGCAGAAATGAAGTGATGGAGAAGGGTGGCTAAAAATTGCTGCTCTGGTGCTCTGTGTGTGCCCCAAAACTGCTCAGTTTTTGGGGAAAAGCATTATACAAGACAGAGAACAAGCCAAAAGGGGGAATAGAACAAGGAGAAAAGAAAACAGGACAGAGATTCACATTTAGCATATTAATATTTCTTCCTAATTGTATCTAAAATCCTAAAAATGGGGGAGAAAAGAATTATACAAGGTCATTTTCCTTCTCAGAAACAAGCTTTTTGTGGGCAGCAGCTAAAAATGTGTATTTGCAGTTCCTTTCCTTTGTTTCTGCTCTAAGCAGAAGCTCTGGGTTGCCTGAGAGATCATTTTCCTTCTTCCAGCTCAACAGAAGGTTGCACTGGCCACAAATATTCAGCCACGTTCCCTTGGGTTGTTACAGGTTAGGGATGAGCTGGTGTTGTGAGTTATGATAGAGAGAATAATAGAAGATTTTTGTGTTAAGGATTTGAGATTTATTAGTTTTTCCTATTTTATCATCTTCCCAAATGTGTATTTGCAGTTCCTTTCCTTTGTTTCTGCTGTAAGCAGAAGCTCTGGGTTGCCTGAGAGATCATTTTCCTTCTTCCAGCTCAGCAGAAGGTTTCACTGGCCACAAATATTCAGCCACATTCCCTTGGGTTGTTATAGGTTAGGGATGAGCTGGTGTTGTGAGTTATGATAGAATAATAGAAGATTTTTGTGGTAAGGATTTGAGATTTATTAATTTTTCCTATTCTAACATCTTCCCTAGAACCAGAGGCTAAATTTGACAAGAAAGTTGTCCAGAAAGAGCCTCTCATCGTTGACGAACATGAAAGCATCACACTGACTACTTCAGTCACGCCTGAAACTGCTGCAGTGAAGTGGTTCAAGGATGGGGCAGAAATCAAGGCCAGCAAGAAGCATGTGCTGAAGAGTGAGGGGGCAACCAGGACCCTGACAGTGACCCTGGCTGAGAGCACAGACACTGCTCTCTACACTTGCCAGACAAAGGATGACAAGCAGGAGTTCCAAGTGCAGGTGAAAGGTGAGCAGAGAGCAGTGCACGGGTCCTGTCCCACCCAACAGCTATACTTCTGCCAGGGTAGGATGGAGGTGAAGTCCAAAATGCCTAAAACTGTTCCAACCTTCAGGCTTGAGCTGCTGTTGCATCTGCTGTGGTTGTCCCACCACGGGGCAGTAAAGTTCTCCTTCCAAATACCCAATTTTTGTCCTTTCCTGGCCACTCTCCAAAATGCCTAAAACTGTTCCAACCTCCAGGCTTGAGCTGCTGTTGCAGCTGCTGTGGCTGACCCACCACAGGGCAGCAAAGTTCTTCTTCCAGATACCCAATTTTTGCCCTTTCCTGGCCACTCAGGGGGACAAGGATGCCTGTGGTGGGTGCTTCTCCTGGTGTCTGCTCCCCACTGTCATCATGCTGTTTGTCTCCTCCCAACCCCAGTAGGTGGGACATGGCAGAGCCTTAGCTCTTCCCCACTCTGCTCACCACCATGACAACACTGATGAGACCCTGGCACAGGTTGCCCAGGGAAGCTGTGGATGCTCCATCCCTGGAGGTGTTTAAGGTCAGGTTGGATGGGGCTTGGAGCAACCTGCTCTAGTGGGAGGTGTCCCTGCAGCAAAGGTGACCCTCACAGCAAAGAAGTTTTTCTTCATGTTTACAGGGAACAATGTGTTCCAGTTTGTGTCCATTGCCCTTTGTCCTCTCACTGGGCACCACTGAAAAGAGACTGGGCCAAATTTCCACCTTTCTGTTTACCCTGAATGTCCAAATATGTTCTGGGCTTGGTTTATTTACTTATTTAAGTTGTCCAGAATCAATTTCTTAGAACAGGTTTTTTTATCACCTTTCTCATCACTTTATTTTTCCTTCTGGATCTCAGAGATCCCAGTGACGTTTGAGAAGAAGCTGGAAGCTGTTAAAGCTGAGATTGGAGGCAGTGTCTCCTTGACCTGTGCCCTGAGCCACGCCAGGGGGCAGGTGGTGTGGCGCAGGAACGGGGTGGAGATCAAGCCCAGCAAACGCTTCCAGATCCACCAGGAAGGGGCCAAAAGAACCCTGACCATAACAGGGATCCGGGCTGAGGATGAGGGGGAGTACTCCTGCGAGTCCAGAGATGACAAGAGCAGCGTCACCCTCGTCCCCAAAGGTATGGCTCTGATGGTGATGGTGCTGGAGGGCTCCTTGGGTTTTATTCTCAGCCATGATAAATGTGGAAAACTGAGTTTTGTGCTGTGTCAACAGCAAAAGACAAAACTCCACTTCCTATTTTAGTGTAGTGGAACCTCTGTCTGTGAAAACAATGATTTACAAACCCTCTTTTTTTCCTCTGTGTCAGTGGAACCTTTCTTTGTGAAGAACATTTTGATTTTGTTGAGCTCAGGTCTCTTACCCATGGGCCAGTTGACCTTCCTATTGCATTTAAGGTTGGAATTCATGATCCCAAACCTAAGATGGGATTTCCCCCTGCTACTTTGTTTGTTTCTTTCTTCTACCATCTTTAGACACAAAACTTAGACCTGGGAAATGTGGTGACCTGTTATTGTGATCCCTTACTGTGAGCAATAAAAATGGAGGCTTCCAATAAAATCATTGACAGGTTTGGCTTGGACCATGTATCAAAGACATTCTCCTAAATGTTTTACTCTCACCCATCAGCTCCCAGAGTGGTGAAATTCGTGGCCAGCCTCAGCAGTGTGGTCTCAGAGGAAGGGAAAGAGGCCGTGTTCAAGTGCACTGTCTCTCCCAGTGATGCTGTGGTCACCTGGCTGAGGAACGGGGTGAAGATTGAACCCAGCCAGAAGTATGTGATCTGGCAGAAGGACACCAACCACAGCCTCACCATCACTGATCTGACACTGGAAGATGCAGCTGAGATCTCGGCCAGTGCTGAGGGTGTGGAAAGCACAGCCAACCTCAGAGTCCGAGGTAGGGGGTGATGATTTGGGAAGGATTTTCCCTTTGCCAGGCTGCCACTGGGGCTGTGACCTGTGTTTGTTGTGGCCTTATCTCTGGCTGAATGTGTTAACAAAAGGTAAAATCTGCTTTTGTATGGTTAAACAGGCATGCCCAGAATGCATTGGGACTGGGGATAGATGAATCACCATTTTAATTTTACCTGAAAACCTGTTTTCTGGATCCTCTACATTCTTCCTGATATTTCTTCTCCTTTGGCAGAGGCCTCAATCTCCTTCAAGAAGAAACTGGAGCCAAAAACAGTTGAAGAGAGAGACACAGTGACCTTGGAGGTAGAGCTGACCAAGCCTGCAGAGGTGAAGTGGATGAGGAACAGCATCGTATTGAAGCCCAGTGAAAAAATAGAGATCAAAGCTGAGGGAGCAAAGCACACCTTGGTGGTGAAGGACATCTCCTTTGCAGACAGGGGCTTCTACTGCTGTGAGAGCCCTGATGACAAGACCCAAGCCAAGATCAACGTGGAAAGTGAGTTGAATGATCTCCAGTTTTACAAACACCCTGGGCAGAGTTTGGAGGTGGATTCTGGTCTCTTCCATGATGATAATGACCACTGCCACCACCTAAATGAATGAGAGGAGGTGAAAGCAAGGGCAGTAAACAGAGAATGGTTCCTTCTGCATCCATCTCATCCCATCATCTCTCAGTCATGCTGTTAGCCATTCAGCTTCTTGGTTCATTCTTCTCTTTCCTCTGAAATTTCTTATGCTCTGGTTTTTTTCCCTTTGCATGGCTTTTAGCAAACCATTGCCTCTTCAGCCATCCATTGCCCTAATTCTTCTCTGCAAATCACCTCTTTCAGAATGTCTCTTCATATTGAATCAGGGTTAAAAAACCCACAGGAGCAATCTTCTAGCTGGGGGTGCTGCCCTTTCAAGTAAACTAATGGTGTCCCAGCTGCAGCCCTGTACTTCTGTCCTTTTTCCTCCATCCCTCTGTCAGGATTGTTACAGGATAGATGAAGACAGGATTTAAACACTTAAGAACGACCTAATTTTGCCTGTAAAGCCCCTGCCACCAGTTGATGCTGTGTAAGTCATAAATAATAGGTAAGGAAGGACTTGATAACAGACTTCAAGTGCATAAAAAGCTGTTATCAAGTGGAAGGGAACAATCTGTTCTCCATGTGGAAATAATGGACTTCAACTGCAATAAGAAAGACCCAGGTTATACTATAAAAAAAGCTTTTTAGTGGTTGGATGACTGAATAGATGGTTTGGAGAAGTCTCAGAGACTCCATTATGGGTTTAAGAAGAGGTTAGTGAAATGTCTGTCTGGGGTGACATGAAGATCTGAGTGTGTCCTAGAGTGGGAGAGGAGGGCTAGGTGATTTTTTTTTAGGTCCTTCCAGCCTTTTAATCTTTATGTGGCCTTTTGGTGGAATCAAAAATATGAAAAATTAATTACAGAGTGCCTCATGCAGAGAAGGGTTTGTCAAATCACTTCCATGCACTGCTAAAGCCTCAAAATGTTCCTGGTTGACAGTTCTCAAAGCTTTAGCATCCTGAAATGGGGCAGATATCAGTTCTCTTGGAGGTTGCTCATCTTTTTTATCCCCAAACTGAATAGCTCCAGGGAAGGACAGCCATTAGCAGTGACTGGCAGCTTCTTTCACACATGGGCACCCCATGGCATTTTTTTCCAGGGTCATGCTCATGTTCTTTCCAACAGGGTGTTGCAGCACTGGGTTGTAGATTCAGCTACACCTGGTTTTAGGCATTGACTGTTTCTGAAGCCTAGTGGTAAAACCAGAAAGGATGGAAGAGTGTTTATATAGGAAGTAATTGGGTAGTCAGCTGTCAACAGTGTTTTGTGCAAAGTGAGCCATGAGAGAATAAATAGAAATCTGCCTCTGGTTTATAAACTTCCTGTTCTGATGGAAAAAGAGGATTTTGCTTTGTGCTTCCCAGCTGCACTCTTATCACTTAGGCTCAGTGGCACTGTAAAAAAGTAGCTCCTCTGGTGATGAACTGAGTTTCACAGAGTGATGGAAACTCGAGGTGATCTGAGATGGACCATGATCAAAAAGGGGAATCTGCTCGTTGTAGCAAGGAGTTATTTTTGTGTATCATCCTCCAAGCCTTAGGTAAGAGATGCAGCAGGAAAGGGGCTGTGTACAAGCATCTCACTGGACTATGTGTTCTGCATCCAAGTGCTCCAGCTGAGGTGGCACCAAGCTCTCTCACTGCTTAACATGGAAAAAAAAGACTCCAAGAGTAGAAGTCTAAAATTTTGCTCCATTTTTTGACATATAAACAAATGGCTTCTTTCAGTAGAATGTGCTGGAGCTTACATTCAGGTTAGTAGAAGCTCTTTAAATGCTCACAGTCTGGGGGGTCGAGCTACTACAATTAGGTGCTCAGCTTTAGGTGATTTTAAAGCACCTTTATTTAAAACCCATGAAGCTAGACTGATCCTCTGGTTAGAGATTGCTCTCAGAGCAAGGTAAATAAGGAAGAGCTATATAAAAATCTGTTGATTTAATCCAATATAAAAGTTGCTTCATCAAAAGATCTGTTCTGATCTTAAGCTGCCAGGAGAACCTAAAATCAACTGAGCTGCTCAAACCAATAACACATCTGGCTGAATATCTAGGGAAAATAAATTGTGACTAGCAGGGGATGTTTGTGGAAGACTTAAGTCAGTCGTGGGTGAAGTGACTTTTCTTCTGATACAACTCTGAGCTTTCAGCAGGGAAAAACATAATTAGGTCAATTATTTATAGCAGAAATTATACTGGGAACATGAGCATGAAATTGCTAATCTCAGAACACAAATTACTGCCTATGAAAATAAATCCTGTAGAAGTTCTACCATTCCCCAACTCTTTCTGCTTTATGCCAAGACCTCTGGAAGGGTGATTATGTTTTCAGTCCTGTGGGCAACACCCAGTGAGGAGATATCCAGGAGGCCACTGACAGAGTTAGAAATGGCTAGGCTGTTTAGTTAATGGTTTTGAAAGTCCCTTTTTCTATCTCCTTGGTATAATTTCAATTTGATCCTCAGCCCATTCACTGTTTCAGGGGCTGGAGTATCTATTCACCTCAGGAGAGGTTTAGACAGTAGGTACACCGTGTTCAGCTTGGAGAACAAAATCAATTCAGAAATTGGGGAGAGATTCAGCTTCTAGTGAGCAAAGCTGGTGTCTTAGTTTGGGAAGCAAAGAACCAAGTTCCTAGAAGTGTTTACACCTCCTTTGTCTGGTTCAAGACATGTCCGTGGGGCAAATTTGTGTTTGAGTGGTCCTGACCTTGGAGAAGACCGTGAGAGAGGAGCCAGTGTGGTATCCCTGAGGGAGGAATTAGGATCCTGGAAAGGAGGTGCAAGTTTTTTTGTGAACCTGCTGTGAGCTATAACAGGGGACAGGATAGGGGTGAGGGTCTGGCATTGCATGGAGCCCACCACTGTCCTCCTGGGGCAGCAGCACTGTGCTTCTACCTCATTTTTAATACAGTCATAGTCTACTCATATCAACCCTGTGAGACCTTTGGAGAAACTGTTGTGCCCCATGTGGCACAGGGGCAGATGCCATCAGGAGGTGTCTAAGAGGCCATGGCATCCTCATCCAGGAGCTGGGTCCAGGCCACAGCCACCAAACAGAGCCCTCAACCCACTCCTGGTCAGGTTTGCACTCAGATCCTGTCTGAAGGTGAATTATCTCTGCTAAACATGGTCTAGGAAGGTCAAAATATTCCCAGGGGACCTGAAAGGAGTGGAAGGTTTCTATGGAGGGTTTCTTTTGTTGTTAATTATTTTTTTTTTCATCTGTAACTTAATTTCTTTTAAGCTTGAGACAAGTTGAAACACTAAATCTGTTTCACAGGCTGATGGGGCACTGGTGTCCTGTGGTGGGCACAGGTAACATGGACCCCAAACACAGCCCCCCAAGCTGTGTCAGCACACTTCACACCATGTCAGGATCATTATTTTTTCTTTTACTAAAAGCTTTCTCATCACCCTGCTACCTCCTCCTCTCCCCCTTGTTTTACCCTAGTTGAAAGCTGAGCTAGCTGCAGATGTCCCTGCCCACTGCAGGGGGGTTGGACTAGATGACCTTGAAAGGTCCCTTCCCACTCCAAATGTTCTTTGATTTTATGACTCATGCCTGAAGAATAAAGATTTTCAACAACATCTCTCTGTGCAGCACAGGGAGCCTGATCCCAGTGTAACAACAGCATTACCTTCCAGAGTGTTTCTTCCTGATGGTTATTGGTGGCCACCTCACCCAGCACAGATTTCTACTCCTCTGTGTGTGTGTGTGTACAACTTGAAAACTTATTTCTGGCATGAACAATGAGTGTGATGGATTTTGCTAGAAAAAGGGTCATTTTGCCCCTTTTCTGCAGTGTTTGGTTGAGTTGTTTGCCCCAACTGAAAGAATCTATCTCAAGAGTAGCAGCCATGCTGGATGCATGGTCATGAATGGGTTTTGTTTCCTAAAACAGTGGTTGGTTGATTTACAGCTACCAGATAATTGGCAGGTGACTGCATGGGAAATAATCTATTCTGGAAGTCCCCAGACTTGGACAGCTGCCCTTGTGAAATCTCCAACTTGTCCTTCTTCTTTTTCCAGTGAGACAGATCAAGCTGGTGAAAGGTCTTCAGCCCCTCCAAGTCTCTGAAAAAGGGACTGCCACCTTCGAGGTGGAGGTGTCACACGAGGAGGTGGAAGGGACCTGGCAGAAGGATGGCATCCGGCTGAAGCCTTCACCAAATATCAGTATTGGTGTCCAGGGGAAGAAACATTCACTGACCCTCTCTTCGTTGACTCTTGAAGATGCAGGACTCATCTCCTTCAAAGCAGAGGGCATTCATTCATCAGGGAAGCTCACCGTGACAGGTACACAGACCCAAAAGTCTCAGGCCATGGTTGGTATGGGACCATGATGGTCTTCTGCCCCAGGGAATGATCTTACAAGGGAGGAACAATCTTTCCTTGTACCTGCAAAGGATGTTATGCACTGTACCATCATCAGTAACGTATCTTATGATGTCAACAGGATTATTTTAGCATCATTGGCCACAGAACAACTCATTATTATGTGCTCGAGGCAATATTATTTTGTTGTCGCAAGTTTTATTAAGCATGGAACCTGGGATTTTGTCTATTCATTAGAAAAAACAAGGCTCATGGGAGATCTCCTTGCTCTAGACAACTCCCTGAAAGGAGGGTGTAGGCAAAGTGGGGGTTGGTCTTTTCTCCCAAGTGACAATTGATAGGACAGGAGGAAATATTCTCAAATTGCACCAAGGGAGATCTAGGTTGGACTTCAGGAGACATTTCTTCCCCCAAAGGGTTGCCCAGGGCTGTGCCAGGCTGCCCAGGGCAGTGGTGGAGTCCCCTCCCCTGGAGGGGTTTCTAAGCAGTGGAGATGTGGTGTGAGGGACACGGGGCAGTGGGGACCTGGCAGTGCTGGGGGAAGGGTTGGACTCAAAGATCTTAGAGATCTTTTCCAGCCTAAATGATTCTGTGGTTCTGTGGTTGTTGCCTGTGCCAGATGGTCCTGGAGACCTAATTCCCCACTAACTGGACTTCCTCTTTCTTTTCAGAATTGCCTGTGAGAATCAGCAAACCTTTGGTGGACGTTAGTGTAACACAGAAGGACAAGGTCACGTTTGAGTGTGAGCTGTCCAGGCCCAATGTGGATGTTAAATGGTTCAAGGTACAGCACTTAATACATTAGGGTGCCCAGTTCATCACTCTGTCTGTTATTTATTTACTGGGTGGGTTTCTTGGGTTAAAAATTCAAGTTTTCTCTTCTTGTACAGAACGTGAGCACTGCTCTTGGTAACAGTCCAGTTTTGTGCTGCACTTCACACCTAGAATTTACAGCATCACTGGAAAATGTGATTCTTAAATCACAGTTGGTTGATCTTAGACATGAAGACTTGGTGAAGCCTCAAGTCCCTTGGCTCCTTACAGTCATTTTGGGGATCAGCAAAAGCCTGATGCTCAGTTCTCCCATCTAACAAGCCATAGGACAAGAGGAAATGGCCTCACGTTGCACCAAGGGAGGGTTAGGGTGGACATTAGGAAAGATTTCTTCTCCAGGGCTGTGCCAGGCTGCCCAGGGCAGTGGTGGAGTCCCCACCCCTGGAGGGGTTCCCAAGCTGTGGAGATGTGGGGTGAGGGACACGGGGCAGTGGGGACCTGGCAGAGCTGGGTTAGTGGTTAGGACAGATCTGAATGTTTGTTCTGCTCACTGTGGACAGAGAAAAGTTGATGTGATCTGGTTTGGCCTTTGCCCTTCCAGGATGGGAAGGAGCTCCGGCAAAGTCAAAAAGTGGGGATGAGTTCCCAGGGCAATAAGAGGAGCCTCATTATTCACAAGTGTGAATATGAAGACCAGGGGACCTACACATGTCAAGCAGCTGAAGACAAGACGTCAGCCACCCTAAAAGTCCATGGTATGTTTGAATGAAGTGCTTGCTCTCTCCTTGGAGGGCTGTTTTTGGAAGAGGTGCTAACTTTGTTCTCCATTTATCATAAGTGATTTCTGCTCTCTGGATTCTCCATGTGCAGGTTGGCAAATAGTGAACAGCCTGGCACAAGGCAGGAATTCAATGGCTGGTGCTGGTCTGGTTGAGCTTCTGTCATTGTCACAGGGGGACTTTCCCTGAACATCATGACTGGAGAAGTCCTGGTCATGATCTCAGGAAGTGCCCTACTCTTTGTTTTAAAGGATAAGGAAAGCATCATGCTTTCTGTCTGCATCTTCTCCTTCAAACTCAAGACAGTTTTGCCCTCTATGAAACCTGTCAAACATCAGATGTGTGTTGTCACCAGGCTCTGAAGCACCACAGATAAGCCAGAGCTGGAGGTCAGGTCTGCTGTGTCCTGCAGATGTTATTTTCCAGAGGGGCATCTGGAGGGCCATCAATGTGATTAGATTATTGATGATTAGGTAGATTTAGATGAGATATAAGGGAGAAATTCTTCACTGTGAGAGTGGTGAGACACTGGCAGTGGTTGACCAAGGAAGTTATAGATGCCCCATCCTTGGAAGTGGTCAAGGCCAGGTTGGATGGGGCTTGGAGCAACCTGGTCTGGTGGGAGGTGTCCCTGCATATAGCAGGGGGGGTTGGAACTAGGTGACCTTTAATGTCCCTTCCAACCTAACTCATTCTATGATCTGAAAAGAGAAATCAGCTCTTTCTTATTTCTTACTAGATGCTGTCCTCATGTGGCCACTTGGGTTCAGCAATAGCTTCATGAACATCTCTCCTGTTCAGTTGCTCTGTTGAACTCCCCTTTTCTCCTTGACTTGATTGGGGTCGGTTGCTATTTGGCCACTTGACTGCTTTGCATCTGAGCTCCTGTCCTGAGGTAGATCTGAGGTGTTTTCCTTTTCAAGGTTTGGATCCAAGGTTGCTTTTCCTTTCCGTGTGCTGCAGTGGCACAGAAATGTGGATCCGTTCTGACACAAATTAGTGCAAAGCTGAAGAGTTGAAGAGGGTTATAGTGAGTTCAGGGGACCCTGAAGCAAAAGTATCTCCTAGGTAAAACCTGTGGCTGAGGTCCCTGTGACTGATATGGTCCAGACTCACATGCAGAGGAGAGCATGAGGAGAAGCATGTGAACGAGACAGGTTTCTAGTGACACAAGAGATTGTGGGCTTGGGTTTAGTTTTCCTCCTTATATTTTCTTCCATTAAACTTATTTTAAAACCTGTATAAAGTTCTGGCATCCATAAAACCTCCTGGCAGCAAGCTCCACTGTAGCTGGTAATCCCACCTGTAGGTTCAAGCCTAAAATGTATTTACTGTGTTGAAGGAACTCCCCAAGAAGGGAGGCTGGTCTGGAGTGAAATGAGTCCCATTTTTTCCCATGCTATAAGCAGAAGGCCAAGACACCACGCTCAATTATGGAGAAAACCCAAATAAATGTCTGTCTCTGATTTCCCAGCCCGAGATATCAAGATTGTTAAACCCCTGGAAGACGTGGAAGTGAACGAGTACGAGAGTGCCTCTTTCATCTGTGAGATTTCACACGATGAGGTCCAGACCCAGTGGTACAAAAACGACAACAAGCTGAAGGCTGCTGACAACATTAAAATGCGTCAAGATGGTAGGGTGAAAAAGGGGGAGCTCCTTCTTGAATGGGGGGGTTGGGGTAGATGCTGGTGTGGGAGACGAGGCAGAAGGGTTTGACCTTCAAAATGAAGTTAAGAAGGTTTAGTAGAAAGTTGCCCTTTTGGGGCTGCAGCTAGGCTGGGACAGTGACACGGTGGGGACTTTAATCAGGTAAATTTGGTGGCATCCCACCACCCCGTGCTGCCAGCAGTGGGCAGGAGTTTCTGTCCTGTGACAGTGGGTGGGATCCTTCTGTTTCAAGTCCTTTCCAGATGGTGGGGACCATACTCCTTGGAGGAGCTGAGGTCAGGTCACCCTTTGCCAGAGGGATGCAGAGGGGAGCAGCCAGCCTTGCTGCTGTGAGGGCAGGTGGTGGTGCACGGACACCAGGTGAGCCATGCTCAGCCTGGCACTGTGCCCTGGGGCATGAAGCTGTTTGCTCAGGAGAAGCCATAGCTGGTCCCGTGTCTCTCTTCTCAGGGAAGACCTACTCGCTGACTTACACGCGCGTCGAAGTCCAAGATGCAGCAGAAATCAAATTTGTAGCAGAAAAGGCAGAATCTCGTGCCCAGCTTGTTGTAAAAGGTAATGATGCTTTTCATGCCAGTGCTGCTGAAGCTCTGCATCACAGAGCAACCAACTTCCCTCACTTTTAACATCAAGAAAGTTAAAACAACACCAGGAGCTTTCAGAGGAAGGAAAATTTCCTGCCTAACCTCCCTGTGTGTGAAATATCAGCCCCACCGTGGGGAAGTAACAGTTTATTTTCTCAGGAGGTTGATTTTGTACCCAAGGAGATTGGAAGTTGTGTTTGAACTTTGAGGGACAAAAAGCTGTGGCTTGAGTGGTTGCTGTGTTTTCTTTTCCTGGTGTATGTTTTCAAAGAATCTAGCAATTTTTTTGGGGTATGTTTGACTTCAACAGTTAAATAGAGATAAACTTAAACAGAGACAGAAGACATTTGGATCAACACCCTGATGAGGAGCTCAGGAAATCAGATCTGCTGGGCAGTGTTGAGTAAATGACCCGTTATCTCTCCAGTCCACCCATCCAAGTGCTGGAATTGGGATAAAACATTTTCCTTTCCTCAGCTCTTCACTTGCTGTGTGTTATCTGAGCGCTTAGCACAGCGAGGATTCCTGGCATTGTCCACCTAACTGCCCATAACAGCAATATTGCTAATGAGGCTTTAATTAGCACCTTTCATGAAAACTATGGGGTTGTTTAATTTCTTTTAGAGCTGCCTGTGAAAATCGTGAAGCCTTTGAGAGATAAGATTGCTCTGGAAAAGCACCGGGGGTTCCTGGAGTGCCAAGTGTCCCGTGCCAACGCCAAGGTGAGGTGGTACAAGAAGAACGTTGAGATCCACCCCAGTGATAAATACGAGATGGTGAGCGACGGCGTCTACCGGAAGCTCATCATCAACGATGCAGACTATGAAGATGAAGACACCTACACGTGTGATGCCTTTGATGACAAAAGCAGTGCCAATTTCTTTGTGGAAGGTAGGAAAGCATTGTTTTGGTTTTTTTTTTCCCCCTCTGAGTATTGCCTGATCTAAAAAGTCATTTGGACTCGATGGTCTTAAAGGTCTCTTCCAACCTAAAGGATTCTATGGTTTATTTTGGAAGCATAATAGCATTTAAGAACTATTTTAGTTCAGTGTTGATTTCTTCTGAAGTCCGTTGAGATTGCTTCCATTTAGTTTGTTTAGGAACATCCTAAAGAATGAATCTGTGGTATATTCAGTGCCATAGTTGTTGTTCAGCCTGGAGAAGAGAAGGCTCCCAGGAGACCTTATTGTGGCCTTCTAGTATATGAATGAGGCCTACAAAAAAGCTGGGGAGGGACTTTTTACAAGGGCTTGTAGTCATAGGATGAGGAGGGATGGGTTCAAACTGAAAGAAGGGAGATTTAGATTAGAAATTAGGAAGAAATTCTTCACTGTGAGGGTGATGAGACAGGATTCCCAGAGAAGCTGTGGATGCTCCATCCCTGGAGGTGTTCAAGGCCAGGTTGGATGGGGCTTGGAGCAACCTGCTCTAGTGGGAGGTGTCCCTGCCCATGGCAGGGGGTTGGAACTGGATGATCTTTAAGGTCCATTTCAACTCAAAACATTCTATGGTTTTCCTAAGGAAATTCCTGTTCCAGAGTAGTTTATCAGATGTAATGAAGTTTGTTGTTCAGAGAAAAATTGCTCTAGCTAGCCAAAATCTTTTTATTATCAACACCTGCATTCCAATAAACCTTCATTTCCTCCATTTTATACAGTGCCAGGAATCTGATATCACATTAGGGGAGCAGCTTTAGAAATAGGGGTGGGAATTGGGACAACTGAATTTTTTTAAGGTGTTGTCACAGTCTTGCTGTCTTATATGTGACTAGCAATATATGTTAATTTTTATGCAAAAAAGAGAATGTTTTAGAGCCTTAAAAGCCAGTAAGTGCAGTTTTCAAGTGCAGTGAAGAGGATATGAAGATGAGTGTACAGGATGCTGATGAAAGGGTTCTTTCATGACTCCTAAATCCCTGCTTTCTCATTCCATCCTCCACCCAGAGCAATCCATTAATATTGTGAAGGAGTTGTGTGATGAGGATGTGACCGAGCCTGAAGAAGCCAAGTTTGAATGTGAGATATCCATCCCATCTGTGAAACCCCCTAAATGGTCTCTACGTGGAGATGTCCTACAGGCTGGCAGAAACATCATCATGCAGCAAGAAGGCACCATCCACAGGTTGACAATACTGAAGACCAGTGCTGATATGACAGGCCCTGTCCAGTTCTCCATTGGCAAATCAAAATCCACAGCAAACCTGCTTGTCAGAGGTAATGGGATATGTCCTGGCTTGATAACATCATGAGAGATCTTCACAGTCCCTGGAGAGCAGTTTTCCAGACACACTAATGTGTAGGCTCCACTGTCTGAGGTCTTGGAAATGTAGATGTACCTCATAGATCTCCTTAGTTCCCAATTAGTGTTTTTGGGTGCATGAAATGAGAGAGGGAGTGTCTTAGGAAGGGATCTGATTAAATGAGTTTGGTGTGCCTGGTATTCAAACTTTGTATTTAAGTCTTTTGAGCCAAGACTGACTTTTTGCTTTGTTGGGCTTTTTTTTTTTCTTCTTGACTTCACCAAAGAGGACAAAACAGACAAAAGTTGCCAGGAGAGTTTATTTCATTCCATTTCTGAATCAGACAAGTTTGACAGCTCATTTACTTAATCCAATTTGTCATTGACTTCATCTGGGACAAAGCTGCAAGGCTTTTTATCTTCCACTGCCAGCATAGTAAATACCCCCAATCACATCCTAAAGTCCTTGTTTTGACTTTAATTTGCTCTTACTTGAATAAAAACTTCAATTAGAGAGCAATTCCATAAGCACTGATGCAGAACTTGACCATGGATGTGGTAATTAATATATAGAAACTTATAGAAACCATCATTCCCTACAGATCATAATGATGTTTTAGCTTCAAAGCAAATCAACTCCGGAACAGAAACCTTGTAGCATCATCTGAGCAACTCACAAAAAAGACAGGAAATTAATTGACATGAAATGCAGATTAGGAACTTTCCTGTTCTTTAGATTGATCCTTTCTTCTTTTCCAACCCTGCTTTCCAGACTACCACATACAGATCACCAGGAAGATGGAGGACAAGATGGCCCTGGAGCGGCATTCCGTCATTCTCTCCTGTGACTTCAGGCCTTCTCCAAAGGTGGTGAAGTGGTTCAAGGACAACACGCCTATCGAGCCCTCTGAGAAGTATAAAATCAAGCGGGAGCAGCATTCTGCAGAGCTCAAGATTCTGAAGGTGAAGCCTGAAGATGCTGGTGTGTACAAGTGCAGGGCTGGGAACGCGGAGACCGAAGCCACGCTGACCGTTGAAGGTACGAGTGGTTTCCAGCAGAGAGCTTTGGCTCTTCAATAGCTATAAGAAGGTTTTTTTGTATGCTGAGGGTGGTGAGACATTTGCCCAGGTTGCCCAGAGAGGTGGTTGATGATCCCCATCGCTGGAACCATTCTAGGTGAGGTTGGCCGGGGCTCTGAGCAACCCGCTCTACGAGAGGATGTCCCTACTCAGTCCAGAGGGGTTGGACTAGTTGACCTTGAAAGGTCCCTTTTCCAACCTAAACCATTCTATGATATCCTTATGATTCAGTATTTCACTCTGGGTTTCTCTTCTAGGGTAGAGATAAATTCCCATAATTCTCTTCTGCTAATTCTCTATAGATGCAATATCTTTAATCAACTGACTATTATGCACTGGGCTGATGGTCCATGATACTGATATCCAGCACTTGCCATGAAGTAGGTAATGCATGTGGAAGGTCACCAATTAGCTAGGGCAGAAATTCACTTTCCATTTCATCTGAGCAGCTGGAACTCTGGTACTTCTAGCTAAAAATGTCACTTATTTTAAACTCCCACAGGCCTTTGATTGGGGTGATCTTGGCTGTGGTTTTCATTCCCTGCCCACGGTGTCAGCTTTTATATCTGCTGTAGGTTTGGTAGTCATAATGATGTTCTACCTCAGCTGGGTGTGACACTATTTTTAGCTGGGTCTTCACCTCTAGTGAAGCTGTAGGAAAAGCTGATCACTGTGACACTATCAGCGAGACTTGGAAATGAGCCACAAAATCACTTCCAGAAGTCTGGGCAGCAGCTTTTGGTAACAGTTTGGCCTCACAAAGGTTCATCCAAGTGACAAAATGATTTAATACTCCCTCCTCTGAGTTGGTTAGTCCTTGAAAAACAGCACTTCATGAGTGGAAAAGCTGCAAAGAGACACCTCTGGCCAAGGACTGGGAAATAAAAGAATGCAATTCCTGTTGCTCCCTAAACCTGAGCAAGTTTTAGAAAGACTTACTTGTTTTTAAATTAAACATAATAATAAAAAGAGAAAGTTGAACAATTTTCTGTATAAAAAGAGAACTGAGCACTCTGGACAATATGTTCTTTTTAATAGCTGGGGTTTTGTTGGGCCAAATGCAGAAAGAAGTAAACGAAATGTGGTGACCCACGGTGTGCAGAGATCAGACTAAACCACCTAATAAACTCGTAACACTACAAAATCTACTTTTTTTTGGCACTGATTTATGGTAACAGTGGTGATGTGCCCCTTGATTCCCTCCAGCCCGCAACGTTGAAGTGCTCAAACACCTGCAGGACGTGGAAATTGAAGAAGAGAGCTCTGCTGTCTTCTCCTGTGAGCTGTCCCACGCTGATGAGGACGTGGAATGGTTCCTCAACGGCACCCTCCTCTACACCAACAATTTCAATGACATCAGGAACGTTGGCAACTGCTACATGCTGACGATGAAGCAGGTCAAGCCTGAGGACGCTGGCACGGTGACAATGAAGTCAGACAAGGTGTCAGAGAGCGCCTGTCTGAAGGTGATAGGTGGGTCTTGATCACACCCCTCCCAAATCTAGATAAGAGATGCAGAGGAGCTCTTATTTACCATACCCATGGAACAATCCTGCTCGTTATTCTCCTCTCTGGGGCTGGGCAATAGGCATGCAGGGGCTTTCTTCCAATGTAGGTTGCTACCGTAGCTGATATTTTTTCTAAGGAAGATCATTTTGGTGTCCTGCCAAAACTTTCCGTAGCTCTTTATCATCTTTTTGCTTATCAGGATAGTCTCAGGAAGAATTTACTTTACTTGTAGGTCTCTCACATAATATAGAGTCTATAAACTGTTGTTTATAAAGATTGTTTTGTCTACAAGAAGCTGAGCTTCAGTGAACCTCCAAGAATAGGGTACATCTTTTCAGTACATCAGCTCTGGAGTTGGGCTGATCCAGTCCAACTGATGGATATATCCAGGAAAGCTGTAGCAAAATTCTACCATAAAGCCAGCCTCTCCTTTGAAATGTAGTCAAGTACCACTAACTTTTGCACTTCAGCATAGAAGAAATGACTGAGATGCCTACAGAATCAATTAACAACAATCAGAACAGACCAACATTAAAAAGTCACCACCAAAATAGAAAAAAAAAAAAGGCCCTTGGTAATTTTAATAATTTACATCAAAGGAAAATTTTGGAAAATTCTGGAGTTGGACTGATGGAGCAAAGAGAAGAGAGTTTGATGCTGTCCTCAAAGTTTGGTTTCACATCTGAGTTGCTGGGGTTTAATATTTTCTTGTGCATTGGCTAAGCTACAGGAAGTTGCATGAATTATTTGAGGCATATTAGAAACATGAGGTGAAATTCAATTTCAAAATCACATTTTCTTTAGCAACACAGCTGTACGTGCACGTTCAGGTACATCACAGTGATTTGTTATCCTCAATTAACTCCTTCATGTACCTGGAAATGTGAGTGGGAAATGTTCTGAGGCGTTCCCTCTGAAAGCCAGAGTCAGATGTCCTCCATATCCTCTTGGAGAACCATCTCTTTGATTTCCTCTTCATTTTTCCCCCTCCTCATGACTAATTTGTTCTTCTCTGAATAATCTGAATTCACTCTATCCACTCAGGATTTTTGAAGGATTTTGGAGGGATTTTTCTTCTTTTTCTATCTTGTCAAGAATTTCTCCCATATGGGTGCCTTCAGTGTCAAATAGACTTTAAATTAGATAAAGGCAATCAATAAAACAAAGAGGCAAGAGCAGAAACGTTCAGGAGAGTGAGGAGAGTGCAGCACAAGCTCTTCTTGCTCCTCCTATTGCATGCATCCTGCTTTGTGAACGGGGAGCACCAGCTCTCTGGCTTTACAAGTCCTACATCACAATTACTTCTCTTCACACATTTTTCTTCTAACCACCTGACCCCTTTCCACTTGCAGAGTGAAAAGGTGTTCCCAGAGCATGTTTTCTGCTCCTCCACAATTCAGACAAGGGCTTCCTTAAATCTAGACTGTCTTGTTGAGTAGCTATTCCATGGAGATGAGAAGCTGTCCCTTTGGGCTCAGTAGGGCCCTACACAGCTTCTCCAAGCCTTGTATGTGATGAAATGTCCTGTACCTGACAGATGCCCCACCACAGAGGAAAATGAATCCTTGCAACCTCATAAGTCAAAAGAGAGGCCAGGATTACAGCACTGAATATCACTCCCTGTCCAAGCTGCCTCTCTCCTGCCCTGCATCCTCCAATTTCCCTGAAAATCATTCCAGTCATGAGATGTGAGACCACTTTAGGGTCACGTTGACATCAGCAATGTTGTCAAGGGTTTACTTAAACTTTCTTTAAATATTTGGTAGCAACTGAAAGTGTCTTAACTGGAATATCTTGGTTGTTCTCTCTTCACCTTCAGAGAAGCCTGCTGTCTTCATGAAGTCCTTGGATGATGTTTTTGGTGAGGAGCGAGGTGTAATTAAACTGGAATGTGAAGTCTCCAAAGAGAAGGTCAATCCTGTTTGGAAGAAGGATGGCGTGAAGCTCACTTCTAGTGACAAATTCGAGCAGATACAATCTGGGAAGACCTTGTGCCTCCTTATCCATGACCTCGAAAAGACAGATGCTGGTTTATACACCTGTGATATTGGCACTGACGTTGCCAAGTCAAAGGTCAGCGTTCAGGGTAAGTGTTGTAGACCATGGCCAGTCAAGGGGTGCTGCAAATATGGGTGGGCTTGGTCATTGTCTTGCAGCTATTCCTCCACAAGCCTCACACAACACAGTGATGTCTAAACAGTCCCTGTTACTCTTTAAGTATGTCTGGTGCTCCAGTGAAAATCATGTGTCAAGAGTGTAGTGACAAGGTTTCCTTCCTGAACACTCCTAAGGTGCAGAAATCTTCCCAGAAGATTGAATAATTTCTCAACAACAACAAAAACCCAACCAAAAAAAAAAAACCCAGACAAAAATCCCCAAGCAACTTCTGTTTCACATTTTTGAGCTGGCAGTTTCAGAGTGCACGGTGGGAACACAAAAGTGTAGGACATTGTCTATGGAAGAACCCAGGAGTTCAGCCTGTCCTCTCATCCTTGTGGCTGCTTGAAGGAAAGAGAATTCTTCATGGTTTCAAATTCATCTTGCCAATGAGATAAATTTTGAATTTGAGTTGAATGTGTGGGGGAGGATGGTAACAAATACAAACATCCCATTTCTCATGCCAGCATGGAGAAAAACCTCACACAACATCCTGTCTGACAGCTTTTCTCCCTCTCAGCTCATTAAATCTTGACTCTTCTCCACCAAGTGACCTGTTCTTCATGCCAGTCCTTGCAGAGCAAAGCCAGGGGACTCACATGTCTCTTTTTTTCCCCCATAGCTTTGTGGTGATTGAGTGGGTAATGTCTGAGAAATCCTTCCCATGCCAAATCTATCTGTAAGGAATGGAGTCAAGTTCTGCCAATCCAACAGATGAACTAGTCTGATGAGCTAAAAATGTCAATGCTGCTACTCCTCTCACCCCTAACAGCCTTTCCTCCTTGTATCAACCTACTTCTTGTCTTCCAGAACTGAACATTGGCATCACCAAACGGCTGAAGAACACGGAGATCCAGGAGGGAGAAGATTGCACTTTTGAGTGTATTTTGTCCCACGAAAGCATCGGCGACTTCAACTGGACGCTGAATGGGAGCAAAGTGGAAAGTGGTGGGAGATTTAAAGCCTCTAACATGGGTCGGAAATACACACTCCAGATCAAAAGTGTGGTTCCTGATGATTCTGGGGAAGTCGTTTTCAATGCCCGTGGTCTAACCTCCAAGGCTTCTCTGGTTGTGAAAGGTAATGGGATCAGAAGGGTTCTGGGGTTTGATTTCTTGGGTGTCTTTTCAGAAGGTGTGTCAGTGAACCATAAAGGCAAACTCTTGTTGTGGTCAAAGTGAATAGAAATGTTCTCTGTGAGCCTTGAAGCACTGAGAGTTATTTTTATTTCCCTAAAAACAAATGAAAGGCTGAAAATTTTATAGATATACTATAATAAATATATACTAAAGAGCAAGACTGCTTTTCCTCTCTTCCCTAACATAATGTGAATCATTCACTGGGGAGTGTGAAAATTTGCTGGGTATCTGAATTGCAAAAACCCAACCATAACAGTGACCATGATTTTGATTCCAAATTCCCTTTGTTTATTTTCCATTTCCCCTCTTCAGAAAAGCCCACCGAGGTTACAAAACAGCTGGAGGATCAAAAATCATCAGCAGGGCAGGACATCACCCTGAGCTGTGAGTTGTCGAAAGCCGACGTGAGCATCAGGTGGTACAAGGATGGCAAAGCCATCCGAAAAAGCCAGAAGTATGACTTGCACCAAGAGGGCACACGAGCTGTTCTGATCATCCGGGACTCCACGGTGAAGGACAGTGGGGAGTACACCTGTGAGACAGAGGTCTCCAAGACAAAAGCCAAGGTCACAGTGCAAGGTCAGTCGAAGCAACCATAGGCGTGTAAAGAAGTTGGGGTAAATATCTACAACCCATGGGAGATGTTCTTCTCTTCTACCTCCCTCAATAAGATCAATTACAGAAGTTGGGGTAAATATCTACAACCCATGGGAGATGTCCTATCTCTTCTACCTACCTAAATAAGATCAATTACAGAAGTTGGGCTAATTATCTACAACCCATGGGAGATGTTCTTCTCTTCTTCCTCCCTCAATAAGATCAATTACAGAAGTTGGGGTAAATATCTACAACCCATGGGAGATGTTCTTCTCTTCTACCTCCCTAAATAAGATCAATTACAGAAGTTGTGGTAAACATCTGCAACCCATGGGAGATGTCCTTCTCTTCTACCTACCTAAATAAGATCAATTACAGAAGTTGGGCTAATTATCTACAACCCACAGGAGATGTTCTTCTCTCCCACCTCCCTAAATAGGATCAATTTTTAGTTTTTCAAAAAAATGCCATGGATTAAAAGCTTTTTAAAAAAAATGAAAAAAAACACCTTGTAGGGACTGAAGGATCTTATGTGCTATGCTAATCAAAATTGGCAATTTGAATTAGTCTTTTTTGAATATAAGTGATTGAAACTGCATCACGTGGTCTGCAAGATCATGTACAGTACCTGTACGATGGCATGAAACTTCCCTGGAAATATTTTACCTGGTACATCCTCTGACAGGAGGTGGAATTTGGGATCTTAAATCCATTCCATCTGATAAGAAAAGGCCTCAAGTTGCACCAGGGGAGGTTTAGGTTGAACATGGGGAAATATTTCTTCACCAAAAGGGTTGCCCAGGGCTGTGCCAGGCTGCCCAGGGCAATGGTGGAGTCCCCACCCCTGGAGGGGTTCCCAAGCCATGGAGATGTGGTGTGAGGGACATGGGTTAGTGGTGGACTTGGTAGAGTTATTGGTTGGACTTGATGATCCTAAGTGGGGCAGGGGGCATTTAAGACCACTCTGTATGCTCAGGATTTGCTTGGGTAATCACTTTCTATCTCTATTTTTTTCTTTCTCTCTTTTTTTTCCTTTCTTTCCAGAAAAACCTAATTATTTTGTCAAGGAACTTTCAGATCTGAAAGCTGATGAGAGCAGAACTGCAGTTTTTACGTGCCAGAGTGAGAGAGCTGCATCCTCTGTGGTCTGGAGGAAAGGCATAGCTGAACTCAGGGTGGGCAGGAAATATGAGATCACCCAGGAGGGAAAAGTCCTCCAGCTGACCATACACAACCTGGAGAAAAGTGACAGTGACACCTACACCTGTGACATTGGGGATGCCCAGTCCAGAGCCAAGCTCGTGGTACAAGGTATGCATGAGGGGAATAGGATTGTCCAGCCCATTTCTCCAGCAAGAAACTTCATGTGCACAGGGCAGGTCCATATCTCAACACGTGGGTAGCAGCTCAGCAGATTTCTGGTCTCACTCATGATGTAAATACACAGAGGAACATGGAGCTGGACATGCAGAGAAATTTGTAAATTGGAAGTAATTACACCTAGAAGACTTTGGGTATGATTTAAAACCCAAAATACTGATGTAAGGAGAGGCTGCTGTTCCTGTGTGAGCAGATGAGAGAGACCATTCAGAGTGCCTGCAACTAGATGAGGGTGAAATTCTTCTGCCTCCAGGTTCTTCTCCCTGTCATAGAATTATGGAGTCGTTCTGGTTGGACCTACAAGATCATAGAGTCCAACCCATTAACCCAGCACTGCCAAGCCCACCACTGACCCATGTCCCTCAGCATCACATCTCCACAGCTTGGGAACCCCTCTAGGGGTGGGGACTCCACCACTGCCCTGGGCAGCCTGGCACAGCCCTGGGCAACCCTCCAGGGCAAGAAATTGTTCCTCATGCCCAACCTAAACCTCCTGTGGGGCAACTTGAGGCTGTTTCCTCTTGTCTTGTTCCCTGGGAGCAGAGCCCGACCCCCCCCTGGCTCCAGGCTCCTGTCAGGAGCTGTGCAGAGCCAGAAGGTCTCCCCTGAGCCTCCTTTGCTCCAGGCTCAGCACCCCCAGCTCCCTCAG